GAATATCTACAAAGCAACAGCAACAACAAAACTACAATTAAAGCTATGCTTAATGGTAAGAAATTATAAGCTTACTCTAGAAAAACACAGGGATGTCCCTTCTTGCCATCTCTTTTCAACATAGTACTGCAAATCTTAGCTGATGCAATAATATAGAAAAGAAAGAAAGAAAGAAAGAAAGAAAGAAAGAAAGAAAGAAAGAAAGAAAGAAAGAAAGAAAGAAAGAGGTATATAGATTAGAAAAAAAGAAATAAAAATGTATTTGTTCACAGATTACATGATTATCTAAATACTCCCAAGAGAAATCCCAAAGGAATTGACAAAAAACCTCCTGGAACTAATAAACGTTAGAGCAAGGTTGCAGGATACAAGGTTACTATACAAAAGTTAATTGCTTTCTTATATAACACAATGAACAAGTGAAATTTGAAATTAAAAACACAATGCCATTTACATTAGCATCCCCAAAAATAATATACTTAGATATAAATCTAACAACCTGTGCCTAAGATCTATATGAAGAAAACTACAAAACTCTGATTAAATAAGTCAACGAACTAAATAAATGGAGAAATTTTCATGTTTAGGCATAGGAAGACTCAACACTGTTAAGTTGTCAGTTCTTTCCAAATTGATCTATGGATTCAGTGCAATCCCAGTAAGTTTTGTGGATACTGACAAAGTAATACTAAAACTTATATAAAGAAGCAAAAGACCCACAAAGTCAACACAATATTATAGAAAAACATACTTGGAGGACTGACATCACCTGACTAAAATTTACTTTAAAGCTAAAGTAATCAAGAATGAGTGGTGTTGAAGAAAGAATAAACAAATACATCAATGAAGCAAAATAGAGTCCAGAAATAGACCCACATAATAAACTCAACCAATCTCTGACTAACAAGCAAAGATAATACAATGAAGAAAAAATAGTCTTCAACAAATGGTGCTAGAACAACTGAATGTCCACATGTAAAAAAAAATTGAGTCTAGATACAGACCCTACACCCTTCATAAAAATGAATTTAAAATGAATCACAGACATAAGTGTAAATCACAATACTCTAAAACTCCTAGAAAATAACATATGAGAAAGTCTAGATGAACTTTTACATGACAATGACTTTTTAGATGCAACACCAAAGGCACAATCCAGGAAAAAAAGAATTGAGAAGGCAGACTTCATTAAATTTTAAAAGTTCTGTTCTGTAACTGTCAAGAAAATAAAAAGACAAGTCACAGATGGGGTGAAAATATTTGCAAAAGAAATATCTGATAAAGGATATCTAATCTAATAAAAAAGAAACATGCAAATTAACGGCACCTCCTCTATGCCCAAGCCACACCCGCCAGCCAAACAGAGCAACTATATGCAAATTAACCCAACCCACCAAGCTGGAGCAAGCAGGAGGCTTGGTTGCCCCGGCGATGGAGGAAGCCAAGCTTTCCGCCTGCCCTGGCTGGCTGTGGCCTCTGCTCAAGGCAACAAAGTTTCAATTATAGAAGATAAATAAATCCCAGATACCTGCTTCCAGCCAGGCTCCACTGGAAGCTTGGGTGGCTAGAGGCCATGGCCAGCCTGCAAACAGCCATCAGCCCCTCACCCAGGATGGCCACATCCTCATGGGGTGAGGGTCCCCACTGGGGGCCTTGCCAGCCTGCAAATAGCCATCAGCCCCTCACCCAGGCTGGCCAGGCAACCCATGGGGACCCCCACACTGAAGGGGCTGTGGCCAGGCTGCAAACAGCCATCAGCCCCTCACCCAGGCTGGCCAGGCACCCCAGCGGGGACCCCCACCCTGAAGGGGCTGTGGACAGCCTGCAAACAGCCACCAGCCCCTCACCCAGGCTGGCCACACCCTCATGGGGTTAGGGTCCCCACTGGGGGCCTTGACCAGCCAGCAAATAGCCATCAGCCCCTCACCCAGGCTGGCCAGGCACCCCAGCAGACCCCCCACACTGATCCAGGACACCCTTCAGGGCAAACCAGCTGGCCCCCACCTGTGCACCATGCCTCTATCCTAAAAGGGTAATATGCAAATTGACCCTAAAAGCAGAACAACTTTGAATGACTGGTCACTATGACACACACTGACCACCAGGGGACAGATACTCAATGCAGGAGCTGCCCCGTGGTGGTCAGTACACTCCCACAGGAGGAGCTCTGCTCAGCCACAAGCCAGGCTGATGGCTGCCAGTACAGCGGTCATAGTGGGAGCCTCTCCCGCCTCCTCAGCAGCACTAAGGATGTCCGACTGTAGCTTAGGCCTGCTCCCCGCTGGCAAGTGGACATCCCCCAAGGGCTTCTGGGCTGCCAGAGGGATGTCTGATTGCCAGCTTAGGCCCAGTCCCCTGGGGAGCCGGGCCTAAGCCTGCAGGTGGTCATCCTCTAGGGGTCCCAGACTGCGAGAGTGCACAAGCCAGGCTGAGGGACCCCCCCCCCCCGCCCCGAGTGCACAAATTTTTTGTGCACCAGGCCTCTAGTATGACTTATGCTTGTGTATGGTTTAAGAAGGTGGTCTAATTTCATTTTTTTGCATGTTCTTATGCAATTTTCCCAGCACCATTCATTGTATAAACTATCTTTACCCCATTGTATGCTCTTGCCTCCTTTGTCAAATATTAATTGTCCATAAAGGCATGGGTTTATTTCTGGGATCTCTATTCTGTTCCATTGACCTGTATCTCTGTTTTCATGTCAATACCATGTTGTTTTAATTACTATGCCTTTGTAGTAGTTTGATATCAGGTAGCATGATTCCTCCAACTTTGTTCTTCTTTTTCAAGATTGCTGTGGTTTTGGGGATCTTTTGTGGTTCCATATACATTTTTAGAATATTTGTTCTAGTTCTCTGAAATGCATTATTGGTATCTTAATATGAATTGTATTGAATCTATAGATGGTTTTGAATAGTATAGACATTTGAATGATGTTAATTCTTACTATCCATGAGCATGGTATGTTTCCACTTATTTATATCCTTTTCAATTTCTTTCTTCAGTGTCTTATAATTTTCTGAATACAAGTATTTTACATCCTTGGTTAAATTTATTCCAATCTGTTTGCTTGGGAGTTTTGGGATGCAATTATAAATTGGATTGTTTTTTAGTTTCCTTTTCTGATAGTTTATTATTGTGTATAAAAATACAATTGATTTCTGGATATTTATTTTGTTTCCTGCTACTTTACTGAATGGCCAAAATCCAGAACACTGATAATGCCAAATTTTAGCAAAGATGTAAACCAGCAGGAACTCTCATTGATTGCTGGTAGAAATGCAAAATGATAGATACAGTCACTTTGAAAGACTGTTTGGTGGTTTCTTACAAAACTAAACATATTCTTACATATGATTCAGCAATAGCACTCCTTGGTATTTACCCAAAGGGGGCAAAAATTTATGTCCACACAAAAACCTGTACATGAATGTTTATAGCAGCTTTATCCATAATTACCAACACTTGGATGCAGCCATGATCTATTCATTTAGTAAGTGAATGAATAAATTGTAGTAGATCCAGACAATGAATAGTAATGAGAGCTAAAAAGATAGGAGTTATCGGGTCATGAAAAGATGTAGAGGAAAGTTGAATATATATGAAGTAAAAGAAGCAGATCTAAAAAGGCTACATACTGTACAATTCCAACTATATGACATTGTAAAAAAAGAAAAACTATAGAAACACTTAAGATCATTAGCTACCATTGTACTAAACTTTAGTGGGAGGAAAAATTAAATGGGTGAAACACAGAGGATATTTAGGGAAGTGTGACAGCTCTGTATGATACTATAATGATGGATATATGTCACCAGTTAAACTATGGACTTTGATCAATAATGATGTTTCAATGTAGGTTTAGCAATTGTAATAAATGTAACACTCTGATAGAAGAGTATTTATAGTCTAAGACAGTTATGCATGTTTGGGGTTAGGAGGTGAATTGTCTTAAAATACGTACACATGAAAACACTTTTTAATAATTATTGAATACCTGAGGCAATCTTAGAGTGTTTTCCTTTAAACAGATAATGGAATCAATTACATTAATAGCTTTTAATTAAACTCTATTCAATTACACCTGTTTTGTTGCTTTCTGTTCCCTGCCAGAACCCTACCACATCTAAATATTTCTGTACAGAATCTGCTTTCGAGTCAATTTCAAATGTTCTTCCCTCCCAATATCTTTCAGCTTTCCTAGGCACTATATTACCTATTTATTTCTTCTAAGAATTGTTTTCTTTTTTAAATAGACATAATATGGAAATGTGGAAGCCAGTGGTTTTCAGATGTTGTGGAACTTCTTGGGGATCATTGCAAAAAAAGGTAAAAAGGGTTCAAAAGTTTGCTTCTAGCTGCCCAAACCTGCTCTAATTAGAGCAAATTCACTCATATGTTCTACCTGTTTATGTTTTTGGAAATGAATCCATTTATATAAAGAGTCTGATGAGAGCTTGAAATCATTTATTTGAATTAATTATTTATCATTTATCTATTGTTATGTTTCCTGACCCTCATTTTATGAAACAAATAGTACCCATAAATTTCTTGCCCCTATTTTAAAATTCAAAAACCCAGATAGAAATTTAGGGTTTTCTTCTTAGCCTGAGAGCTAGAAATATTAGAAATATTAAAAGAGAAATAAATAATTACACAGCAGTAAACAGTACGGTCCAAATGAAGAATTCAAGTGAGACAATGAAAATACAAACCAAACAACTGAGCGAAACACTACACTTGTTTAGTCCCAAAAGTTTAGTTTCACTTCATTCCATTGTCAACAACATTACTCTGGACTCGGCTAGTCAGCTAGTCAATGCACCATTTAGGTAAGGTGAATCACAAGGCATTTTGCTGGATAGTGCACAAATTTACACTTTTATTTGAACAAATCATTAAACACCTTATAAACATTTTATGAATGGATCAAGAGCATCCTCATCACTATTGAAAGACATCCTTATTTTTGACTGAAAATGTTACAGCATCAGACTTACCAGACCCCATGATAATGATGGAGATCAGTAATCTCAAAGTTGAAATCCTCCCCAGAGTATGCATTTGGATGATTTTCTTCTTTAATGCAAATTCACTGAAAATCAATCAATGGATTCAGTGAATCTCTCTCTTTTGATCACTTTTGTTTACTCTCAATTGAACAGGACTGGTTGTCACTTTTCTTCACCATTTTGCTATCTTTTTATCTTTATCTTTATCTTTATCTTTATCTTTATCTTTATCTTTATCTTTATCTTTATCTTTATCTTTATCTTTATCTTCATCTCCATTCTTCCTGCTTTTGGCTGATTAGCAACTGACAGGAAGTGTCAATGAGTTTTGTTTGGCCTTACCTTAGGGTAATGAGGAAGGAAGCATAGTGGCCAGGAGTATGACAGCTCAAATAAGGGAAATAATTGGCTTAGCTGCACAAAAAAAGGGAAATGACCATGCTCCAGTCAATGCCTCAAAATTGGGTGTAGACAGCATGATTATTTGGGGTATTTGAGTGGCCCAAATTGTCACCAGATGAGGACCACACCCAAAGAGGGTCTGTCTGAGGCCAGCCTGTAGTGTGTGGGTTCTTGACTTCATGCAGGACAGATTTCACAAGACCAGTCCAGGAGATTCTGAGAGTACATTTATTAAATCTGGGAACAGCAAAATAAAGGAAGGACTTAGGATAAAAGGTGCAACAGGAGAGAGCTAGGTGGTGCTCAGCTATGGCTGCCTAGAAATGTTATAGGAAAGAAGTGAGCCAAGGTGGGGCTGCTTTTAGCTCACTGGGAAGTCAGAGAACAATGGCACCTTGGAGGCAGGATTAGGGAGTAAGCCCGGGATGAGCTGCTGCTGCTCACTGCTCCCCTGGTTGTGAGTCTTGAAGAGACCCTTAGAGTTTAGGAGAAAGAAAGTAAAAAGTTCATGCCCAAGAACAGGCATGGGTGTGCTCTAGAGAGAACCTATGCTGGGTCTTTGTTTTGAGGGTTTTCATCTTTCTTCTGCAGGCAAAAGTCTGAGGGGAGGGTTTCCGCAGAATATTCATCAGCTTTCCATGTTCATTTTTAATATGCTGATGCACCAGAATGAGTGTATAGGGGAGTTTGGGATTATTATTTGGTCAGCTTCACTGCTTTACTTTTATATTGGATCTGTCTGACTCTAATTGGGTTTTTGTTATTTGTTCCCCTAATTTCATCCATCCTTGGGTTTGGCTGGCACAAATGGCACTAATTGGGTCTCTGTCCTCTATCTCCTTGATCACGGTGATTTAAGTTATTTAGTCTTTGGTTAGGGAGGAGAGGTATAAACCATTTTTTCTCAAGTGTCCTTGGTTAGGGATGATAAGGTCTTGTAATTCACTAGCTGTCTGCAAGGTGTTTAAATTATTTGGCCTTGTTCAGTTTCCCCATTCCACTTACCCCCATATTTTCTTAGCTTCTTACTATCTTGCCTCAAAATTGGGTGTAGACATAATTAAAAAAATAAAAACTAAATTAAAAATGACTCATTGATCTTCACATCAGTTTTGAGCTTGATTGTTCAGGGTATTTAAGTGGCCCAAATAGTAGAGGAGATTTTTAGGGAGTAGTGCAAAAGTTACCCTAAACCACATAGAAAGCATCTTATGAGAGTAAAATGGAGGATAGCAAATAGAAGTATAAGGAGTTCTTCTGGGTCAGTCCATACTAAAATCTCTCCTTAAATAGTTTTAGCTAAGAAAACAAATATGGAATTTCCAGGATCTCTTACAATAGCTGGTTGAGTTATAATAAAATATGTTCAAAGTGTGAATTATGGCCCAACTGGCATGACTCAGTGGTTGGGCATTGACTTAAGAACCAGAAGGTCACAGTTTGATTCCCTGTAGGGTCAATGCCCAGGTTGTGAGCTCAATCCCCAGTGGGAGGCATGCAGGAGGCAGCCAAACAATAATTCTCTCTCATCATTGATGTTTCTATCTTTCTCTCCCTTTTCCTTCCTCTCTGAAATCAATAAAAAATATATTTTTTAAAATGTGAGTTATGTTTTTTTTTTTCATGACAACCCAAGAGGTTCCCTAGATAATCAAGGGGTCTGGGTGAAGAGTGACATCATACAACACCATGGTATCTGACAGGGGACTGAAGGCTGTGCAGGCCACACCCTCCTGCAGGTTGAATAATCCAGAAGGCTCAGATTTGGCTCCATCTTGTATCAAGGAGGTCTCAGTAGCCATGACAAGCCTGTGAGATTCTGCTTTTATGATTCTAACCATAATGAACAGCTAGGTATGGAGGGTCACAGATTCAGTCTATGAGAACCTCTATTTCCAGGAAAACCTAGTATGCAATCAGTAATTTTTTCTCTAAAGGTAGATACACAAGGTCAAGATGGGCAATTTTTTGTATCTGAAGCTCATGGGCAATTTATGGCCATCATAGGTAATCCAGCGATTCCAGAAAGTATGAGAGGAGGTTGCTTAAAGCCTCCACAGTAAAGGAGTCTCTGAGAGCCTGTTAATTTTCACTTGGACAGATTTGAGAGCCTTTTCTTAGGGGTGAGTACCATTTAAAGTGGGCTCATTTGTAAGTACTAGCATCAGGTGGATTAAGTAAAATTGGTAAATGAGGAATATGCTGTCCCTAGAATTCCAAAAGGATTAAAAGATGTTGGACTTAAATATCCTCAATGAGTCTGTTAAACAAAACTTCTTAGGGGAAGATGTCATCAATGTAATGTCATACTTGTGTTCCTGGAGAAAGGTGGATACAGTTAAAAATTTTGCCTGCAAAGACTGTGTGGTGGCAAGGCCTGCTGAGGTGCCTCATGGGTAGCCTAGTAAAGGTATATTGTATTCCTTTTTAAATGAAGGCAACTGCAGCCGGAGAGGCTGTTAAAGTTGGCACTGAATAGAACTTATTAGATGGAGTGGCTAATTTTAATATTGGATTGGAGATGGGAGCTTTAATGGGGGTTGACCATAGCATTAAGGTTGCAATAATACACCATGAGGCACCATTCATTCTTTTTAAGTTTAATGATAGAAAAAATTGAGCTGTCAAATGAAGAAGCAGTGGGGATAATCATGATAGTCACCCATTTATTAATTTGATCTTATATAATGTCTCAACCTCTGAAGGACCTTTGTTAACTTACATTGGGACATATTAACTGTTTTCACTGAGTGTTTGTGGAGTCCTATTTTGTCAAGCCAATTTGTAGATGCCATGGACTTAATTTAATTATAATTAATTACTTATTGTATCAGACTGTTTATGTCCACTATCTTAGCCTGTTCAGGCTGTTATAACAAAGTACCACAGATGAGGGGACTTATAAACAAAAGAAATTTATTTCTCATGTTTTGAAGGCGGAGAAGTCCAAGATCAAGTCACCAGCATATTTGGTGCTCGGTGAGGGCCTGCTTTCTGGTTCACAGACAGAGCCTTTTCATTGTGTCCTCACATGGTGGAAGGAACAAGCTAGCTCTCTGGGGTCTTTTTTAAAAGGTCACTAATCTTATTCATGAGGGCTCTACCCTCATGACCAAATCACCTCCCAAATGTCCCACTTCCAAATCCTATTACATTGTGGGGATAGGTTTCAACATATTAATTGGGGAGGTACAGATATTCAGTCTATAGCCAGCCAGAAGGCTGGGCCCTAGAGAGTGTGGCTCAAGTGGCTTATCACTCCCATTGGCCTAAGGTGACCTCCACCTGACTAGAATCTAGCCCATGGAGTTTAGCCAGTTAGAACTGTTCCTTTTTAATATTTCGACACTGAGGAAATTTGTGTAAGGAGAGGTGTGGGAACCAGCAGTAAGCAACAAGGTTAAAGCACAAGCTCACCAACAAGCTCCTTCCCAAGCTGCTCTCCTGGTGGCTTAGAACCAATTAGTAAGCCAAGAGCAGGCCCCCAATAAGCTATGCAAGAGTCAGGGGTCACAGCCATGCCACCATGCTCACAGTGCCAAATGCTTCATAAGATTCAAAGATTTCTTTGATGGCAGGACACAGCACAGTGACACTCAAATAGATGAAAGGCAGAACTCTCTATAAATCATAACTCCAAGAGAGAAGGTTGCACCAGGAACAAGGTAACAGCAAGTGGGAACTGTAGGGGGACAGTTTATATAGAACAAGTGGAGTGGAGTTTGCTAGATTTGGTGGATTCTTTGTTTGTGTTGGCAAATTTGAAAAAATTCACAGGTTCTAGGGCAAAGGGGCTGTTATGATTTGTCTGGGGAAATTAAGGTGGTGGCCTAGAATGTGAGAGCCCAAATAAGGAAGTGCTTGGGGCGTGGACTTAATCAGGCACTTAAGAATAGGAACTGACTGACCTCTAGCCAAGGCCTCAGAACTAAATCAAGACAGCATTAAAAAAAAAATTTTAATTTAAAAAATTAAAAACAAACAAAAAACACCTGTATCACACAACCTTCAAGAGAGAACCAACCCTGCTGGCTCTGTGATCTTGGAAATGTAGCCTCCAGCACTGTGAGACAGTAATTTTTGTTGTTTCAGCCACTTAGTTTGTGGTACTTCATTAAGACAGTCATAGAAAATGAACACACTTCCAAACTAGTAGTGCCACTTTTCATTCCTACCATTGCAGAAGACCAGTTACAACACATCCTCACCATATCTCCCGTGACAGTTTGCCACATCTCAACCTCAACTCTGATTAGCCTCATTTCCAGTGGTCAACAACTGTTGTGACAAGGGACTAACATTCTGGACACCACCATTCCAGAGCATAATTTGTTTGGATTTTTTTATTTGTTTGTTTGTTTTTAAATATATTTGTATTGATTTCAGAGAGGAAGAGAGAGATAGAAACATCAATGATAAAAGAGAATCATTATCTGCTGCCTCCTCTAAGTCCCACACTGGGTATCAATCCCAAAACCTGGGCATGTGCCCCAACTGGAATTTGAACCTTGTCCTCCTGGTTCATAGGTCAACATTCAACCACTGAGCCATGCCGGCTAGGCCAGAGCATTACTTTTTTTTATGGTCAGTACTAGAGGCCGGTGCACGAAATTTGTGCACGAGGCGGGGAGGTGTCCCTCAGCCCAGCCTGCACCCTCTCCAATCTGGGCTCCCCTCAAGGCATGTCCAACTGCCCATTTAGGCAGTCGGACATCCCTCTCACAATCCAGGATTGCTGGCTCCCAACTGCTCACCTGCCTCCCTGCCTGATCACCCCTAACCACACCCCTGCCAGCCTGAATGACACCTA